ATATATTAAAATTAGCCTTCATTTTTAGATAGATAAAATATATATATTTTTTTTCATTTTGGTATGAATCATTCTTAGAATATTTTTTTGTACAAAATAAAAACTGGCGTACCTCGAGCTGTAGATAATACTTGGCCTTTAATTCAAAGTACGGCCTGCAGAGGGAGAGAGAGAGAAAGATTAGAGCAGAGTGAGTGTCACAGCCGGTTCCCATGACAACAGCAGGACCTGCACATTCCAGCAGCAGAAGCACATCTGGAACCCATTAGAGACGCATCCCACTGAACTACACTTCCATCCACAACCCAAACACAGCAGAGCGGAGCAGAGGCCCGCGGAGGGGCCCACAAAACACTCGACTCTCATTTCCATCAGAGAGGAAACACTCTGTGGCTTTTCTGAAGGAAAAATCATTTTATTCCCAAATATTAACATGTTTGAAGTGAGTTCATGTGATGCAAACCCTGCAGAACATGTGCTTACAGAACTTGTTCCAGCAAGATTTTAGGGAGTCTTCATTTTATGTCCATTACAACATGATTTATATGTATGATCATTATGTAAACGCCTCAGACACTTTGAGTTTTGCCCATTATATCATCAAATTCCATGTGTGGAGTTTTTAAATGTTTTGTAACAGTTTTGACATCAAGAGAGAGTGAAAAATATACATTTATTTTAAATACACTACTGTTCAAAGGTTTGGGGTTGGTAAGATTTTTTATGTTTTGAAAGAAGTCTCTTCTGCTCACCAAGGCTGCATTTATTTTTTATCAAAAATACAACAGTTTGTGCAGAAATTATTTGGTTATGCAAACCGATTGTTGCAGAGAAATGAACATTCAATTCACGGGCAACAGCTCTCAGTGTAAATGACTTTACTGTCACTTTTAATCAGTTTAATGCATCCTTTCTGAATATAAACATTAATTTCTTTTAAAAAATAATACCGACCCCAAACTTTTGAGCAGTAGTGTATGTATATCAAAAACACTGACTTGTGTCCTCTGACCTGGACTTGTTGATGGTGCGTTTGAGTTTTTTCTCCAGTTGTCTCATGTGGCTGATGGCGGCGTTGTATTTAGCCGCTGTTTCTCTGTGCTCGATTTCACTGCGTGTCCTGCTTCCCGCTGATACTCCTGCGTGGCTCTCTGAGCTTCAACCTGAGCCTGAAAGACGAAAACTTCAGAGACTGAGGATGCTTTCACAGATTTGGTGAAGAACGAGCTGTTTGCTTTCCAAACTTTTGAAAGCAACTCGTAAAGCAACCCGGTGTTATCTGCAGACTAACACATGATGCATGTCTCAGCAGCTCATATTCTTCATCTCTTGCAGTGCATTGATGACAGTTGCAAGCGAGCACATGTTAAGACGTTACATAAGTGATGATGACGCTTCCTTAGTGTTACCAGGATACAGCAGTAAACAGCTGCTGTCAATAATCACTCATTTGCTGCTCATATTAATGATGCAAATTTACCACATAAAGTGCCATGCACTACAGTGTGAGAAGTTCTGCTGGGAAGTTTCTACCAATGAAGAAAGAACAAGTTTTATTTAAGTGACTTTATATTTCTCAGCTATATGACTAAAATTGGTACATTTTTAAAATGAAAACTAAAAATCATTAAAAAAATCATTTTATTACTTGAAATAAAATAACATGAAAAGTAATGCTAGTTGCAAAGGCATCATTTCTCAAGTACTAAAATAACTAAAACGGATATAAAAATGAATAAGAACTACGTATACAGACAAAAAATAAAAATAAATAAACTAAAATTCATTCATTTAAATTAATTTTAAAAATGAGTAAAATATAAAATATAAAAATAACCACTAATTTAAAATATTAATAAAACTTAATTAAACTAACTAATTGGACCTTATTTTGTTTTCTTTTAATTTCCCTCAATGAAACATTATTAGTGCTGATGATGCAGCATATTTTTAGTTACTTAAAATAAAATAAAATAAAATATATTAAAAACTTAATTGAAAAAAGAATAACTCAAAGTAAAACAGAAATAAAAGAAACTGAGACATTTAAAAAAAATTACTAAAAATAACAAACACTCAACAAAATTACTAGAACTTTAACTAAAATTTTAATAAAAATGGAAAATATAAAAAAGCTAATTCAAAATTTCATAAAAACTATAATAATATATTAATGACACTACAATAACACCACAGTGATGTCACATTCCTCTGTCTCGTCTGAGACTGAAACAACATTAAATCCCTGTGATTCCTATCAGTGCTGACAGATTAGCCAGATTAGCATTAGCCACTCAGGTTTAATTGGTCATGTGACCGCTGCAGTCTCTGTCTCTCTGCGGGACGAGCTTCTCATTTAGAGACGATCCCTCTTACATTATTCAAATCTATATTCCGCTAAGGAATTCATAAAGAAAGCTTGGACAAGAGGCTACTGTATATTTCATAAAGCTCAATCTCACCCCACTGTATCACTCACTTCATGAGGTATTTCTTATTTATATCCTCTAAACCAACAAACTCAGCAACCTTCAGATTTTGAAGGAATGTTTAAGGTTCAGTGCAAATTAATCACAGATGCTATCTATAGAGTTAAGCACAAAACTATTTAAACTCAGATTATCAAACCAAACAAGAACTGTTTATAGTCAAGAACTTGAAATATTATTTCAAAGCAGCTTGTGCTTTTCTTTAGCGCTTGTAATTCTGTAAATTCAGTTGCACATGTATTATTAATATATTATTTGAGCTGTGAAGTTGACAGAATTGTAATTTTGTCTTTTCTAGCCATGTAAATTACAAATTAGCATTTATAAGTATGCATTACTGTGTTTCCAAAACATCTAAACTTTCCTAAATCAAGATATATTAACTTGAGAAGCAAAAAGACTTAAGTTGTTTTCAAAAAAAAAAAAATAGAGTTTATGCTTAAAAAAAAAAGGTTTGCCAGTGTGGTTAGAAAAATAATCAAATGTTCACTTATTAATTAAATGAAGCGTTAGCGTTAGTTCTGGCAGGTCACGTGAGCCAAGCTTGCATCAGCCGATTCTCAGCTGATCACATCTACCTATAGGAATACAAAACCTATCGCTGCATTCCTATATAAGCTCTATTCAGTATTATTCAGCAGCTTTTCAGCTTGCTCAGGAGCAAATTACCCTCCTCCATCCCCAGCTCCTCCTTTCGTCACAGTCAGGACTTGGCTTTCTGATATTCCTTGCTAATCAGACTCCTTTATCTTGAATAAAGTGTTACACTTAAATATCATTAAGTACATTAATGATATCTGCCTTGTTCTGTTCTGTTAACCCTAGGGGGGCTATTATTGCTGCTCTCCCTGCTCATTCATGACTGGCTGCATGGATGGGCAGGGAGTTTTTTGCCCAGAACAGAACCATACCGCCAAACCAAACTTATGCTAAGTATCTATCATTTTGACGATAGTGGTCCTGACAGAAGTTTATTTTTTGAACCTATTGGCAATTTTTTTTTTCTTGTTTTAAGCTTAATTTTAATATAATTTTCAGAAAACAAAACTTAGTATCTCAAGTCATTTTGCTTGCATCTTAATTTGAGAATGTTCAGATATTTGCAGTGGAAAACAAGGCAAAAATATTAAGTTGGAAAAAATATTTTTTTAATTTTTGCATTGCAGTTAATTTCTTGTATCCTTGCTTATATCATGCAAATGTTTACCAGCTTTACAGTCATGACAGGAGATTGACAAAATGGATAACTTTACATGAACAAAATTACTTTAAAGTGATATTATCATACTAGTTTATTTTTTGCATGCTTTATGTGTGTCACAGAGTGGCTCTGTGCTACTGTGCTTCTGTTTTTGCACTGGCCTGATTATGGACACACAGTCCTCAGCTGAAGTGTTAAGTGGAGTGTACAGGTGGAGAGAGCTGTAGAGAGAGATGTAGTGCATTTCTGCAGACGGATGACTCACACACTCAGACGCCACGCCGAACCGCTGAGATGAAGGGCACACTCGGTTTCCTTGAGTTCATGAGCGTGTTAGCTAATGCATCACGTCAAACGTGTCCAGAACTGACCTTTCAGAGCATTGTTCAGAACTGACCATTCAACATGATGAAACAATGCATGTACTGCAGTAAACAAAAGCTGCATTTAGCCCACTGCCAACGCAAGGATGTGATGGCATGTCTGCGTGGGCACGGCACTGAACACTCAGCTCTGAATAGCTAGTAATAGACTCATACATTACCCAGACTGATATTTGCACAAGTTGCAAAGTGTTTGTTTAATTTCAGCAATTTTCTTTAAGTCTCATTTGTTTATATTAAACTGTATTATATTATATTTGTATACTGCCTTATAAAAGTTTGGGGTCGGTACGATTTTTTAATGTCTTTTGCTCACCAAGGCTGCATTTATTGGATTAAAAATACAGTAAACTCAGTAATATTGTGAAATATTATTACAATTTAAAATAACCGTTTTCTATGTAAATACATTTTAAAATGTAATTTATTTCTGTGATCAAAGCTGAATTTTCAGCTTCATTACTCCAGTCTTCAGTGTCACATGATCTTCAGAAATCATTCTGATATGCTTATTTGCTGCTCAAGAAACATTTCTGATTATTATCAATGTTGGAAACAGTTGTGCTGCTTCATATTTTGGTGGAAACCGTGATCCTTTGATGAATAGAAAGTTCAAAAGAAGAGCATTCATTTGAAACAGAATATAATAATAACATTATGAATGTCTTTACTGTCACTTTTGATCAGTGCATCCTTGCTGAATAAAAGTATTCATTTCTTTCAAAAACAAAAATCGTATTGACTATAAACTTTTAAATGGTAGTGTATATTATATTCTTTATATCAGCAATTGTGAAAACTGCTCTATAAATATTGGCTATTAAAAAATCAACTGACTCAACCGATCATCATGCACCGCATGACCACAGAACTGCATCATACACTACAGATAATGAGAGATGATGCATTTCTCCTCATATGCTAAACAGTCATTGTGTGTGGCTTATAATAGTGTGGTTTTGAGTGAGCTGCTCCATCACAAAGAGCTACAGTGTGGGTCCGGCAGGGTCTGGAGAAATGATTGTTGTTATGTAACTCATGATGACCTGCGTGTCTAAAGACTTTAAAGATCCTATACGATGTTGTCTGTTTTTTAATGTTTTTGTAAGTCTCTTCTGCTCACCAAGGCTGCATTTATTTGTTAAAAAATACAGTAAAATCAGTTATATTTTGAAATATTATTACAATTTCAAATAAACATTTCTGATTATTATCAATGTTGAAAACAGTTGTGCTGCTAAATATTTTGTGGAAACCGTGATACATTTTATTTGGTGAATAGAAAGTTTTGGGTGGTTGCCGGGGTGTTGCTATATGTGGTTTCTAGGGCTTTCTGGGTGGCTGCTAGGTGTTTTCTTCCTGTTTGTTCTGAAAAGATGTGCAAATGTGCATCTGTGGGATTTTTGCATCTGTTTTTATCACCATTTCAGATGGCTACTATTTTGTTAGTACATATTTATTGAGATCAAGCAGCTTCATTCTAGTTTAACTACTTCAAATGATCATGTGTCTGCTTAAGTCACACTTTCTTAGCTGACACAAGCCTTTAGACACTGTCACTCACAGGGTCAAGGTGAGGTGAAGCTGAGCTCTGTAAACACTGTAATGACAGATTAGAGTTACGTCAGGGAAGATTCTCACTTGCCGTGGAGATTTTAAGGTCAAAATGACACACACTCCTTCATCCTTCTGTCTGTTCTCACACACTCGTTAAGTTCTCGGTGTCTGCACTGAGGACGGAACAGAAATGCACTGTCTGTTTTATTCAGTTTCTCATATTGTTATAATGTTTTTGACAGGCAGCACAAGCATCTGAATTTTTTTCTGCTTTGCTGACCTATTTCTTTCCCAAACTCGGTCAGACATGAGGCTGATGGGTTTTTCATGAGCGGCGTTCGCTGAAATCATGTCGAATTAGTATTCAATGAGCTCAGCAGCATCATCCGAAGATGTAGAATCATCTCAGCACACACTAAACTCTGTCTGACCTATACTAAAAACCGTGACCCGCTTCTTCAACTATCAAAGCAAGTTCATCCACCTGAAGAA